CACGACATTGCGCCACCATCTTCCATTATATTTGGTTGGTAATTGCCGCACACAATGATAGTCTAACGTAAATCGGTTCAATATTTCAAAGAGATTTAACCATCTCTAACGATTTTACTAAATGCTCAACACTATTGAATACCATCTCGTACATGAGACTGATATAATATGAAACGTGCTCAGAAAATGTAAATTTGATTTATTTGTATATACAATTGAACTTTTACAAAACTAATTGTTGTATACAGCCTCTAACACAAGTTGTATTTTCCGTGTATCTAAGGTGGTAATGCACTGAATACAATAATTTAGGATAACTGATAGTTAATATGTGAAAATTACTTCATAAGGCTTGAATTCTACATGAACATTTGTTGTATATCACCAATAAATTCCTAATGTATGAGACTTGTTCAAAGTTTAAACACCCAATTGTAATGATCTTTTATTACCTTTCTACTTCAAACTTTATTAGTGTTTGGTGACTAATTTTTAATAGTTATTATATGTTGAATAAGAGTTTATTTAGAATTATTTCTGTTACTGACCAGTTTCTAAATTATCTCACTCTATCAGGATCTAACATTATTTTAAAGCATTAAATTATATGCAAACTTATGAATGTTCATCTGTATCTTTTACTCTTAACTATACATAAATTACATTAAACGTAGCAGACTGTTGCTCACTAAGTTGATTTTTCATGACAAATGTTCTTGATTAAAGAAATTTAGTTGTAACCGGTAAATCGAGTATTGGCGTATTCAAAAACATCTCTAAAGATAAGAAGATAGTTTCCGACATCTTTTTCTAAGCACCAAGAAGTTGTGTTCTCATAAAATAATGTGCTAATTGCCATGATATGGAGCATTAGTTAATATAAATTGATCAAAATTAAAGAAAACGAACAGCTGAGAATTTAGCATACTAATTACTCTGTTTTGAATCTGAAAAACTAACTGATTCTGAAATACTAACAAATATAACCACACTACTTTTTAACATTTGACGGAATAATTATCAAGTAAGTACTACTCGTTCTATTTTAACGTCAGCCAAAATAAATATGACCTCAATTATCACTTCCGGCAATCTATCCACATTCGTATTACCAATATTAACAAGGAATACGTATATAGAGTCAAACGTAATTCACATTGGTATTCGTCATACAACAATAATCTGACAGCTAACTTCCTTCTAAGTACATCTTTGTGCGAAAACCTATATTTACTTTGACAAATTTTTCAAGATAAGACAATTTGTTATGGTTACGACTGCTTAAACCCAACCATAATTCACGTAATCAACAAACAATAAAAATTGCTGTGTTTAAAAGAATGGATTATACAGTTAGAGGGAAGTGTGAAAATCTAAAGTTAGAAAAAAATAGTGGATTAATATATGCCTCTATATAAAAGTTTTAAAAATTAATTTTGATTAGAAAATGTGAATATGTCATAATAATCACTTTATCAAAAGGGATTTATTCGCACATCCAAAACGAGTCTGTATCGAAAATCACATTTTTAAGCCAAAAAGTAGATATACATTGTTTCTGCATTCAGTGATTCACAGTACACTGTAAAACCTTTATAGTGATTCAAAAAAGGAGAGAATTCAATTTTCAATTCGCAAGCTTGATGTAAATCGGTATGCATGCGTCTCATCCAGGTGGCCTCTACAATATAATTGTGCCTGGACAGGATGCGAATATGCCAATCAATTTTATTTCTTAAAATCAACATCTAGATAATTCAAACACTTGAAAGCCATAGGTTGTCCACGCTCATTATCTTGGTGGATATTTCGATTGGTATCTGAAGTAAAATGCTCTGGGTTAAAATATCAGTGTGAGCACTAACATCGATGCAAGTATACCCACCTAGCGAATCTAAGGCAGGATGAAAGAAGCTTTCTAGATGCCGCTGCTAGCCACTGTCCAACTTTAATTAAACTTCATTTACATTAAAAAGAAAAGGAATTTCCATAGAGCAACAGGTGCGCCATAAAAAAGGTTCAGTGAATATTCTAAACCTTTTCTCAATAAAACAAAATATCTTAATTCACCAAGAGCATCATGACATTAAGCTTTGCGTCATATCCATGCGGCTACAAAGAACTTCAAAGTTAAATGAGACGAAAGTTCAGAATTTTTTCTGGTTAGTGTTTTTCGACGGGATAAGGTCACTAACCACATTCCCAAACCTCCTCCTTTGGACCGGTAGTAGCCCCAGAGGGGCTTAAAGTGGTGTTACAAACAAGATGAGAAACTAGCATGAAAGATTTCCTTATGTACTAACACTAACTGGAAAAACTAATGGTCTAAAGTTCAATCCCACCTGGTGTATCTGATAAATCCAGTTGAAAATCACTAACTTATGGCTAAACAGTTGTTAAGCACTCTTTAGTTTTCAATGATACTTTAGCTGATGATGTTTCTTCAGTATTGAAAAAAAATTTCAAAAATAACAACAATATCAAACAACCAGTTTTTAACTAGAAATAGGTTTCTCTCATGAAAATCTGTTTATTTAGTCAACAGCTATTCTTAATATTTATGATTAGAAACATGATTTAAATAACTACCATATCATAGTTTTATCAAATGTAAATCTCTCATCATTATCCTCTCTTTCTCATGCCTTGTCAATTGATCAATTGTTGAACTAAATATATGAAATTATTTTCTAATTCTATTGAATTCATATTAACATAAATGTAAAAGACCAAATATGATGGAATGAGTATAAAGCAAACTAAATGTAAATTTATTGTCGAAATTTTGTAGTTCATCTTTGTTTTAATTTGAGTTGACTTAATCTCACTGTTTGATACCGGATTTCAAAAGGACTGCTATATATTGTGATGTTTCTCAATGAATTCATTTTACAAGTGCGTGTATGCTGTTTGTAAGATCCGTAATTTTCTACCACAGAGTACATCAAGTTGTTTGCAGTGTATAAAATTATTTACTTTGGTAATTAACTTGTAATAACCGCATTCGGTGTTGATTTACTATATCGATAAAAACAGCTTTGAATATACTGAATAAATATTGTGTTTATTTATAATAATTGCATTTATACTAAATGAAAACTATTCCACTTTTCATTTCATACACCTATTTACTTGATCGGTAAGTTAAAACTACTAAAACGCTCAATTATATCTCTTTAATTTATATTTAAATAAATCTATAAGATGTATATCGTCCTATGAATATTCTCTTTATCATAGAATTTACTGACTTGTGTTACACACTTCCTTAAAATGTGAAAATTGACAGTTATAAGCAATGATACCTAACTGCCACTTTCTAGTTTAGGGAGACCACTCTTGAAGTAATTATGAAGAATTGTTTATGCATTTAATTACAATCGTAAATTAATTCACAACGCAAATTCACAAAAGAAAACTCATGTATTAATAAATTAATAATACTGATACAATGATTACTGCATGATAACCAGTAAAAATCTGAGAACAAAGGACAACTATTTCTTCCTTCAGTATGCGTGTGACACTTCAGAAGAGTTAAATCACATTCTACAGGGATTTAAGTCTGAACATTTCAGACTTTGAAAAGATTTCATTAACTTAATGATGAAAAGCTGTCATTCAATGTTTCAAATTTCTAACTTAAGTCATTGACCTGTGTAATATTTTTATTTATAAATTGGAATTAACTTATTTACTCAGTTGACCTACTTTCATAATTCTACAGGAAGACTTCGGAAATGCATAAATTTTCTCAAAATGCTCTATAAAGATCGAGCTTATGGTTGTAATATAAGACCAGTTATTTTTTCTTATGCAATTAAGGTATATTTATAATGATAACCATTTGCTTAATGAAACGCAGATATATCCATCGATTGGTTGACTGAGTGAATGTATCTGTTTTCGATTAATGTAAGCTGTTCATCTTAACTATAATTTTCATCAAGAACAAACATCAGGTAAAGCATTATTGAAGACCAAAATACAATGAATAACTTACTGATCTTCATTAGAGAAGCTTCAGTAGGATTACAGTCAACGATATTCAGGTACAACAGCCTAGTAAAATTCGATAGATTTATTCGACAAAACATTGAAATCAGCCAGTTGGCGACTTTTAGGGAAATTTTCCACGGATGACGTGATTAACTTTACAGGTTTCAAAAGGTTTTGATATTTGCGCGTAATTCATCCTTTAACTACACTTCGAAATATTGATTTAATAGACATTGTTTAGTCGAAAGTTGATTTCCACCATTAAATGATAACAGAAATGTTTACCTCATTTATAAATAAAAAGATAATAAATATTTACTAAATATTAGAAAATGTATCAACGACGAAAATCTTATCGTTTTAATCATACTTATCAAATACAGATGCACACGATCTCTTAGGCAATTATAATTATAGCCATTTTCATTGAAAATGATTCTATTTAGTGAACGCTTTATAAGTTTCCTACTTCTGTTGTAAATAACAAACAATATATAGTAAAGGCTACAAGTGGTTTAAAATAGTCAACAGAAAACCCAAGACACCGGTTTCGTGTTATGTGATGTCAGTCAACAAAGTGTTTTTGTAATTTTGACAGAAACAGTGCTGTCTAGCAGATTTGACTCCCAGTCATTTGAATGCACAGTTTGACACGTATCACTGAGTTAATTATCCTGCGACTGACCTCTTGTAGGACTGGGAGATATTCAAAATTATTCGACTACTAAGTAGTGACCAATTTAATGTTTGTCCGGTCCTTTTTTAGTGGTTATCAAATCTTACCAATCACCTTATAAAATGGACGATAATCTAAGTGTCTCGATACAGCGTGCTTTAAGGTGTGATGGTTAAAAATTCTAATATCACTGTAATAATATGAGAGTATCAGAAATCCGCTGAATTGCGTAGAATTACGCTTATGACACAATTATGAAGTATTAAATGGATAGAGATCATGGTTAAAACGAATTTTAAAAGGATATAATAATTAGAGATTCAGTCTATCTTTACAGTATTGAACACTGCAGTGTGGTATTACACCTTACAATTATTTGCACTTCTTTGACAATCTAATCTTCGCACAACACTTTTCACTTTCCGCTTTTATTTAGATTAATAAAATCAAATTTCATCTCTGTAAATAACCATTTGAATTTTTAAAAATAACTGTTAAATTAATCCAATTGTGACAAATCATGGAAGAATTTCATTCAGCCAAGTAATTGTATGCAACCTGCAAAACACCTAAACAATACACATACATTAGTTCCATTACGTACAGAAGCTAAAACGTAGTATGAATTTTATTTCCATAAAATAAAACCATGAGCCAAATTCCTAATTTCAGTATCAAATAAACAAAATTTCATAAATTCTTCTTTTTATCAAACTTGAAATAATGTATCCTTTATAAATGGAATGTTAACAGAAGTAACCAATGGGAATCAAGTAATTTCTTTAGCTATTCACAATATTCATTTACTAGGTTATATGAGTTTAAATAATGAACTATTTTCTTGAATTCAGAACACACTATATCATAAACTAATCTCTATGAATAATTTGAAAAACCTAGTTGATTGACTAAGTTTATATATATATATATATATATATATATATATATATCGAGAGAGGGAGTTGTATTCGCATTCGTTGGAAGCAGTATTCGATTGAATATATATTACATAATCATTGTCAAACTAGAGAGTATGTTAGTCATTTTATGTCACATGAATCACGAACAATTGGTATTTGTTGAATAACAAGGGATTATTGGTTCAGTTTAAGTAATGTCATGTTTATTTAAGTTTGAAATAGTTCAATCATAGAAATATTTAGTAAAATAAAGTAAAACTTTATTGATATTTGAAGCTTTTCATTTACTGTGAAAAGATTCAGTTTATAATCAATTGTATTAAGATTACAATTAAATAAATAATGTAGTTCGTTTGATGAAATTTAGAAATAAAAGAGATAATGGATCAAGATAATTAAACTTAGAAATATGATATTCAATAAAGTAATTCAGATTGAAGTAGACTTCTATGCGTACGATTTAACCAATTTAAAGATAATCAGAGACACAAGTAACCAGTCTAACAATACATGAAATTGATTTATTAGTTTGAAAAAATATTGTAAAAATCAAATTAACTTGAAGAGCAAATGTCGGTAGATTTATTGTAATTATCTAGCAAATAAAACTTTCTATGATGAGGGTTTCAGCTACATAGGGCAATCACAGGCTAGTCACGATTTCCTTCTCCACAGATAGTTCAGATGAAAAAAAAAACATGTGAAGAGAAAGGTGAATGAGATGCTCATTGTATGTTGTTTATTTTAAAAGTTCTAGATTCATTAAATATATTCAACATCCTCTCGGTATTTAAAACTTACACTTATTTGTTCAATTTATTCATTAACTCTGTTGTATTAATTTTCTACTATCAAATCTTTCACTTATCAAAATTAGTGATGAAACTTATACACCTATAAATATCCTATATTACATCTATTCAAACCTGAGCACTTTTACTGATCGAATTTCATCAGTTAGGAAGAAGTAGTGTAATGAACGAAAATTTGATTAAAGTAAACCAATGTACTGTAGTGTGAAAAATTACACACTGCATTTGCAGTTATTCCATACAAATTCCATTGTCCTACCATTTATGTCGTTATTTTGGCTATTTTTAATTTTTCGTTCTTTCCTTTTCACTGTACTTTCAATTCCTGATAAATACTACTTATATTTGTCCGTACCAGTAGTACTCAGCGCACTGGTGTAATCAATATTCTATGAATTACATCGATCATTCTATCTATATCAATTTGCAACAAAATTTATTCCCCTGTCTATATAGTAGGACTACGATTGAAATAATATATTTTGAAAAACTGTATATGATAACGTAAACTACCTACCGCTTACATATATCCGTTTATTTAATCAAGATTTAGTTAAGAATTTTGAAAACGAAAAGTAGTATCACAATTTTCTGAATTGATAAAAGAAACTTTAATTGTATAGTTTACTTTATGTGTAATTCAGTAAGTTGAGTTTATGTAATGAAGACATTTTCGACAGAGAATTTTGTTGGTAAAATTATATTTGAGACAAACGACGGTGCTCTCGATCACGTATAACGAAAGCAAAGCTAAGATATAAGCTCAATTAGCTTTTAACAGTAAAAACGTTTGTGGAGGATGTAACAGAAATGGTTTGCTGTAAACGCATGAAATATTCATTTATGTTTGATTCAGTTATGTATTATAATAAAGATGTTTTACAATATCATGTATAGATGAGGGTTATGTTTCTACTAATTATTAGTTTCCATATTATAAAACTAGTGATCATTGTAGGCTGCAAACTGTCGTTCTTACACATTTTTTTTCATTTACACAGTGTTGTATCAGTGGTGTTTGACTTAATGAAGTTGAGAGTAAAATATTTTCCAAAATTTATTGTTGTGAGAGTGTCCAGATTTTAGTCTAATCTCAACTAATGCATTTTAGCAAGACTGATGCATGCTGGATATCCGCTAGCCGAAAATATGTAACACAATCATACATAGGTTTAGCCACCGATAAAAACTAGTTATCCAGTTATTTTATGTATATTGTTTACAAAACATACTTTACAAATAAATCATATCTGAAATAGAATTTTCTTTATGAATTCAAACAAGGAAAATACTGATAGTATTGGCTTTAGACTTAGAATGATATATGTGATAAATAAGTGTGAATTTTGCAAAAAACGACTACTTACTTATTTCTATGGTGTTTGAAAAAACTAACTTGTATATGTTGGGCTTCGATCTTAAAGCCATGTAGCTGAGTTATTAGAATACCAACGAAACTTGTGTGAACACTGACCTTCCAATACGCTACAGCAAATTAGGTACATTTATTCTGAATAAACTAGTTGTTAAGTCCGTAATATATTGCACATTTCCATGACTAGTAATAACTGAGAGTATTATATACATACATTTTGACTGGTTCACTGAAATTTATACAGATAGCATAAAACTATCATCACCTATTTGTTGTCTTTATGAATTTGAGAATAGCATACGGAAATAACTAAAACTGCTTAAAAGTTGATTGAATTACTAACAGTATGAAGATATTGTTCAGCATTTTTAACTAAGGAATAACTGCTGCTGTAAAGAGTTTCCAAATTGAAAAATAACCGACATATGTTATGTCTTAATAGTTAAGATGTTCAACTTTCATGTATGAATCCTACCTTATCTACTACAGTATGGACAACTAAATAGTTTCACCAACCCTAAGTATTAACTATGACTGAAAGCCGAGTGCATAAATCTGTGCTCGATAGACCACCTCGTGAATTTTTTCAGCAATTTAACAAATCCAACTTTATACAATAGTATAATAGAGAAGTGTGAAAACGTTTTCCCTAATACGTAAAACGTGAATATCAGGGTAGATGAAAATTACATTACATATTATCTCTCAGCTATTTATTGTTCTTTTTAATTGATTAATTGACTATATCTTCAAAAATATACTTGACAAATTTCAGAAAGCAGTGATTGTGATAATCGATGAAGTTTTTTTTAGAAATTTGTAAAATTTCCCATGATCTACATTTTTGAAAGTTATACAAATTTTCTTTCGTTTCTTCACTGAATGTAATTATTGTCATGCAGTATTTATACATTTTCTAAAAGTTAAATGGTATCACGACAGTCGATTGCCAAAATCATGATTTGAATGATGTGAATTTATTTTTTATGAAACCTTTTTTAAAGAAATGATAATTGGTTCAGTAAACAATATGATAATAATTTCAATGGTTGAAATCATGAGTCAGTTGAAGCCAGGCCACCATGGAAAACATAGTATTGGACGGCCGTTTTGTCCTGTTGTGCGACTCCTCATCAGTGCGCATCCACGATCCCGCCCCACGAGATTCGGACTCAAGACCTACCAGTTTCACGCGCGAGCGATTATCCACTAGATCACTGAGCCGTCCAGTTCTTCCATGTGGTCTAGTTTCAACTGACTCATGATCCGAAACATTGCATTTACTATGATATCCACAAAAACCCCTTCTGATATTAATGTAATAATATACAATAATGTTTAATGTAAATTTTATAAATTTAATTTAATGAGTTCATACTACTGAAAAGTCTTAAAATAAAAGGTAACAGTTATTGAATTCCCCTCAATAGTCACTAATTCTCCAAATGTTTTTTACTAGTGATTAAACTAACTTTATGTAATGAGCTTAAACAAACTGAAATCATGAAATAAAAAGATCTAATTTAAAATAATTGGCGTATTGTATATTAACGCAATATAGTTTGAGTAATTTGACCATGCATTACCTCTTAAAGAAACTTTTATATGAGAAATAAAATAATAAAACTAGACGGATCCGAACACAAAGAAGAACGAAGATCACAAGTCTAATTTATAATAGTTTTGTATGGTGCCGTCTCTGATATTGTCGATCAAGTTATGATCAATCTTAATTGTTATATGTGTATCCTTTGTTCAGTATTTAAAACGAAAGGTTGTGAGGCTCAATTCCCAATATAAATATCAAATTAGGTGCAGGCGCATCCTGCTGACGAGCCTCAAATGGAACAAAACGAGTGTTTTGCATTAAACTGTCAACGATAATCCGCTTGTACTATAAAAGACAGTAATAAAACACAATTTAAATCACACCACATTGGATATAAAAATTAGATCAATATTAGTAACAATAAGTTTGGCGAAATATTATATTCATCTACATTTACTATCCATAGTTTTGTGCTTTATATTTTTTTTCTCTTTACCCGTCTTTTCCTATATTTTTATATCTTTCCAGTTTGACATTTCCAATTATCATATATGGGCATCTCAACAATTCAAAATACATTGCTCTAATGTGTAATACATCAATTCCGGTAAATTTCGCCTTCTGAATGGATTATCTAGACTTCATATATCCATTTTAGTTAAGAATCAAATAGTATTTTTGAACCTATTTATTTACTGAATTCATTACATAAATGTATATTCCTGAAAGAATTCAGTGTTCTTTCTAAGTAGAACTGAACTAACTTTCCTATGGATAATCACAGTTTATTGAATAATAGCGAGAAATTTCATTATTCATAGAGATTAAAAAAACTAACATGTGAAGAGGCAGTCATCAAAGTATAGTTTCAAATCGTTTATTAATTAATCCATTTAGAAGTGTCCTGTTATTTAATTTTAACTGAATCGTAATAAATTCATCGTGATATTTGTTAGCTTGTCTAGGAAATGCTGGATCTGTGTTAAATGCAAGTTAGCACCCGTTAGAAATGTTGTGAGGACTGATGATTCCAGAAGGATTTGAACCCATCTTATCCAACTTCACGATTTGAGACGTTAACACTAAGCTATTCGGCATGCAAACATATATATACCATTATAATCTCAAAAACCACTTATTCGGTTCGTAAAAAAAATAAAACATTCATAAGTTTCTATTTCATTTCTATTCATTCAGAAACTTTCAACAAATACGAACAATAAATTCCCCTTTAAGCTTTATTATAACTTGTAATTCTTTTTTCTTGATCTTTATTCATTCATTTTGTAGAACAGATCAGTATACAAACACTAGCAAAACATATATAATTGAATTCTTCCTGTTGATCATTAGAATAATGTATTTTCAATTAAACATTGAGTCAGTTCTATACTCAATTATGGAAAAATTCAAAAGAACACTTAATATATTTATAATGTTTCAGTGGGAATATCCCATAAAAAGATCTTTATATTCATATCAGAAAATTAATCATTCAATAAATGGTTCTTTAATTAAAAAATCATTTATAATATCAATGTTGGTGAGTTTGATTCTGATGGAAATTTCAGCAATGTAAGTTAGTTAGTATATTATTAATAATATTTTGTAATGAATCACTTTTCGTAAACAATGGTAATACAAACTTATTTATCCAGTTATCGAAAGTTTATTAAACTATATAGTTTGTATCAGAAGGGGTTTTCGTGGATAGTATAGTAATCTCGCATGCGAACGCTTAATCTTTAGACCAATGAGCCGGCATCCAACGGCACTAATATTTAACTTCAATCGATCCATGCTCTTGCATAAATTTTCATCAATTGTTTGAGGTAGATAACTGTCCCATATCCGACACGGACTTCACTGGCTACGACTTCTCACTAGAACTCCAGGAAATCCAAATTGAAGCTAGTCACCAGTGAGCACATGATTATTATCAGTATGGGGCTTTGAGGGGATTGTAGATGTTCCATACTAGAACAAAACGGCCGTTCAGTACTTCCAGGCTTTCAATAGTGTTCTAGCTTAGACTGACTCGTGAATTCAACTGTTAAATTACTTTATTCCTCACAAAGTCCCATACTGATAACAAACAATTTCAACGCGAACTCCATAAAAAATCACGATAATTTTTACAGAAACACAAAACCTTAATTATTTACATCATTCACAAGCAATAAATCACGACATGTACCTGTCAACCAAAAACTCAGTGAATTTTTAGCAAAACATTTGATAGAAATATTTCAATGTCTGAATTCTATGTCAAGTGAATTCTAAACATATCCTAAGGTATACAAGTATTCATGATAATAGTTAAAACATTGAAACAAAAATTATTCATATCTGTATTCCATTGTCGGCGTCCAATGGCAATTTAAGTAGGTTGTTTAGATCCCTTGAGAACACGATTCTTAAACGTAAGAATGTGTTCAACTTTTACAAAAATATTTCAATTCCTATGACATTTTCTAGATGAAACATAACAATAGTGACAATAAAGAAAATAAGATTATTTTTTTCTGTTTTGGATAGGATATTGAATTGATATATTAGTTCGGCTCCATTATAGTATACTTTCAAAAGATTTTAAATTGTTTTATTATGTAAGTTGCATTATTGAAAATCATCTTAAACTATTAAAGAACAATGAATGTTTATTTCTTGATTTTATTACTTAACTTTTGATGAAAAAAATACAAAAACAAGTACTTTATGGAAATATAATTTCAGTCATTGAATAGTTTTGAAAATGTAAAGTTGTCATGACAACTATCTCACATTTGAATTTAACTGAAAAGTGGATAGTAATAAATGAACAACCGTATAAAACATATTGTGTTGCTAATTACCAAAGTTTTAAGAAGTATATTGAATAATGTACATCAATAAGTTGAAAATTGGTTTGTTTTCTCAAATGCTAGAAAAGATTTTAAACTTTTAAAAACTGTTAAGTAAACTAGATACATACAGATATTGGTACAAGGAGGCACCAAATACATATGCGCCACACAAATCTCATTCGATATGTGTGAGGGCTGTGATACTGCCCGGGTGCCCAAACCGAAGCAGGTAAACTAGATACATACATCTATTGGAATATAAAAACAAGAACCAATTTTTTTTTAAAAAAGTATCAAAATGAGCTAATCAAAGAATTGACTAGTTGGAGACATGAATTCCATTAACCCATGGAAAAAATGGTTAAAAGAGCACCAACTAGGTTTATCGTTATTGATATTATTATTTTCCGTATGTTTTATTGGCTTCCTTACTTAATTTAATACTGACTTTTTAAATTTATTTCATAATTAGTGTTAAACTAAATTTGAATGTTTTTTTAAACTAATTAATGCTTAAGATTACATCAGAAATGCAGTGACTCTTCATTTTATTCATATGGATTAAAAATACTTGTTATGTTTCTTCTTAAATGTCGAATTTCTAGCAAATAGCTGCTAAAAAATCTGAAGTCAAACATACTGGTAAAATAGAGAAATCAGAACTTTTTAGCGAGTTAGTTTTCTACTGGATGAGGTCGCTAATCCCGTGCCTAACCCACTTGGGGCCGGCAGTAGTCCCAGGGGCCTCCAGGCGGAGTTAAAACAGTAGAATAAATAGTACTAAATGAGACCGTTTGTATGTTCTATTCAAAATCATTGAGCTGATTTATATTGTACCAATACTCAGTACGACAAGCTAATGATATTCAGTTACCTTCACATAAAATGGGTTTGGTTGAAGTTAGGTAGCTTTCAGAAAAGAAAAATTTTTTGATCTTACAAATCAGGATAAGGGTTATTCAAAGATTAAAATACCTTTTGGTTACTGAGACTAAATTTCACCCTCAAGAAGTTTCAGTATGACGTTTTTCATATTTATATGTCATCATCTTGAGAGCCGTTTGTAAGCAAGAGACGACGGACAGTTAATATATCATAATTTAGGCCTGTTTAACTCGTGAATTCACACTAGATTTAAAAGAAGGAATTTAGAACATGGTATTGTTGAACCACTGAGGCGATTCACTACATCCAGGAAATTAATTGCTGCCATCAGTAAGGGAAGTTTTTCATTTACGAAATCATTGCTTTAAGAGGATGTTAGTTGAATGAAATCGGTAATGTGGATCATTGAATTCCAACTCACTAGTCTAAAGGTATCACCTGTATGATGAGACTTGGATCAAAACCTATGGAAGTTTATAAGTGCCCTCTTCTATGACATCTTACACCAATCCTAGGTCCAATTTCCTCAAACAAATCATTCAAATAAGTTGTAATACATATTAACAACTTGAAACAATGATTTGTGTGTTTTGAAAGCACTCTGATCCCTATTGTCATTTCTTATTAGGAATCAAATGTAAACAAGTAGGATTTGTTGAGTCAAATCATCTATTTCACCACTAACAAAAATTTAAAATAAGTTTATGTTATGGATGTGCTTTACCATGAAATCCTGGTAGATGTTGACATAAATTACATATTCGTATGTCTTCTACTTATTAACTTTATTCTAACTTTCATTTATTAAGATTGTGACTTTTAGCCGAATAAAACATGATATATATTTCGACTGTATTATAGTAAACAATAACATGGCGAATATATGAACGTCAATGACCGAAGATAACTGAACCCCAAAGGCTTACAAATCTTATTTTAATAAAATTCGTTCAATGCCCTTAACAAAAAGATGAATTGTCAACTAGATGCAAGTAGCATCACATACTATTTATCACGACGTTTCAGGTTACACTTCAGAAGTCTTAACCACAATCACAGAACATAAAAATAATTTAGACTTCGGAATCGTGTGTTTTAAAGATTATCATACGGTGGATGAGCGATCACTTTACTACACCGAACAAATGAAAATTCTGCTAATTAAAAGTTACGGGTAAATAAATCCCAATCGCTCAGTACAGAATTTCAAACTTGTTTCTTAATATTTACTATCGTTAATATTCATTAGATATACACAGCAAATTACTCGGAAGATTTCTTCATTATTAATCATTGCATAAGGTGGTCATGATTCATATATCAAAATTATTAGTTGTAAACAGAGAAATTTAGCAGTTTCGAAGCGGAACGACCCTACTACTTAGACGTTAAAGGCTTGTCTAAATACGAATGTTGGAGCCATTGAAACTTATAACTTCAAATGGGTTCTTTTGATTTTCATTTACTAACTTTTACCACAGAACAATATTGAAGTATATTAGTTCTGTTATTCATTTCATTGTTTAATATAATCGGTATAGATTTTAAGGTGTTATTGTTTGTTGGCATGCGTAAAACAGCAGTAAACTATAAATAATTATTTTATATAGTACCGATATGAATAATTTCAGCTTTCGGAACTTTGAGAAAAATTCACTAAATCCGCAGATTCTTGAAAATAATTGGTTATATTATAATAATTCAAAATAACTGAAAGATTGTTCGGAATTTCGGGACGGATGGTTTCGGGGATGCAAATAATGAATCACAGAAAGCGATTTATTCAAAATAATCCGAGAGAATTTTTTCGTTTTACGAATTATGGTAAACCACTTTACCTACTTATAAGTAGTATAAAACGGATTGTTAGGCTCATGGGTTAATGCATTCGATGGTATTTAGATGACAAATAAACATTTTATTGATTGTTTATTGAATATTAACTCCAGAGGGCTGTAGCGGTTATTTCTAATTCATCCAGTAAGTGATTTTCTTTGAAATTCATATTTTGCAATCAGGCTGAAAGAATTGTCTTTTTAAGTGAATCATGTGGATTTCTCATAGCTTTTTCTTCATTCACAGAACATTTTCTTCAGAAAATAATGTTAATTTGATTAGTGTTGACAACCGAGAAACATTGAACATCTACTTCATCCATGCTTAGAAGTTCTATACATTGTAAACTATTGACCTTATATGTTGAAGCGAATTCTTAGAGGTGGCAGTGAATGTGGTAAGTACACATGATATGTCCGGAATTCGGATTAAACAAGTATCTAATGCATCCAAATTTTTCTTCCTCTCTTATCTATACTAATCAATTAGGATTCTTATAGGAACTAATAAAAGATATATAAATCTATATTTATTTACTAACTAAGACTTAATTTAAAACAAGTATCGGAATATTATCAATGCCTCAAAATTCACATTAAAACAAATATTCAAAGTTAACAAATAACATTCATTAGTTAAAAGAATAAAATGATCATTGCATAATATCTGAACTTCTTCGAGATTATTACCCTGAAGAAGTCTAGACAAGTTAGCTGGACGAAACTATGGAATTATTTAAATTTCAATCGCTAAGATTACTTCACATGTAATTTTCACATATAATAAAATGAAATAGTTACGTACTAAGATTTCATTTAATTTCTGTTCCGATAATTAGTGTTTTATGGAATTTTTCTGCTAATTAATTTAATTAGTACAAAAGATTTATGAAAAATTACATTAGTTGATATTAGTTCGTCTCTTTTTTTCATTCTCTTCCGATACATTTTTTGTCAGACAGAAATTTTAGGAAGTGTACAATGAATCGATTGTTTGTTTGTTTATTTGTTTTTTTTGAAAAACAAAAGTTACTCAGAATCAAACTTGATGTACCGCTAATTATGAATGAGAAGATTTAGTTCATTTCGTTATCAAAATGTATTTAAAAGTTTTTTTCTTCTGAATAATACACTCCTAATTTATTAATTAAACTTTTAACTGATATTATTTGGATACAATATGGCTGATAGTCTGTTGGTATGATTTGATACCTTTTTTAAAGGAGCTTCTAAATTTACTTTTTAATTAGTTTTTCATCATGGCTCTACACTAATATATATGATTTACAATAATGAAATAATACTCATCGAATGGATACGTTACGTAATGACATATCTGTTATAAATTAACATTGACTAATTGGAAGAAATAGGATTAATAATAATCAAAGTAATTATTCGCAAAATCAAGAAGTTACTACGTTACATAATATATGAAAAAAAGAACGAACAGAATATGTTGACGAATGGTTAGTATAATAATAGTTATGTAAGAATCAAGAGATCAATGTTGAGAATAAGTAGAATACAAAGTTCAAAAAAACAGAAAAAACAAAAATGGACAGTTTATCAATGTTCTACTACAAACGCCCCTATACCGATGGCCGAGGTAGCGAGCGTGGTTGTATAAGTTTCTTTTGGATGCAAAGGATAGGTTTGTGAACATGGATTGCAATGGCTTCAGCAATATGCAAAAGACGCACTTATAAACCATGTGGCGAATTTGATGGGATGTAGCAGATAACCTTAAAAGCTTTATTTAATTCTGCTTGATGATCTGTGTCATCCAAGTGAGCGAGAATAGAACTCTTAATCCACTCTTACCTGTCCTTTGCTCAACCGCGACGGATGGTGTTCTGTTATACGATAACGAACTTGCTGAATTGTACGCCTTATATAACTAGCTCCACAGGGGTAGTTAAAATCGATAAATACACATGGATTTTGCAAATTCAGGCAATCGGTCTTTACTGGCCGTTCTTATTGTGGGGCGGTTGTAGAAGATAGCACTCAGTCTGGCTGCATTAAACGTTTTTTTACCGCTTTTCTCAATCTCTGAGTCACAAATTCCTAAGTAGTATCATTTAAGAATTGTAATTTTAAGGACAATACTTTCTTAGGAACGGTAGGTACCTTTGTCCTTCTTTACATCTCCTTCATGTGTTTGTCTATGAATTTCATATATATTAGTGTAGAGGCATGATGAAAAACTAATTGAAAAGAAGTTTCTTCGCTCGATTCGTTCCTTCTTTATCTACCAAATGTCAAAGTGGAATTTTCACTGTTTTAAATTAACATTAAATTTTGTTTATGTTTTTAGTTTTGGTTTTTCTGACTGTCAACTAGGTGCACATCTCTTAATGTCATTTCTTCTTAAGTATCCTAAAAATTATCTAACTGGTAACAAAATAATTTATGAGTCAACCAAACTTTTATAAAAACCACCCTAAGTTTAAATTTTCATATAAACTATGTTAGAGAAAGAATGTTATGAGACATAATTAATAATATAAAGACCGGAAGATTGTGAATTCTATCACATATTGCTCCGCGAATACTTACTGGTCACAAACGTATATGAAATAGTTATTCAGCACCCTCTAGCATTATCTAGTTATTCTGTGGGAAAATAAACTTCAAATAAAGGGATACATATTTTCTCATTTACTTTGGAAAAATACAAGACTTAGGGAAAAGGGAATTGGAAAAAGGTTTTTTTATTGATGACAATAATTCAACTAATGAAATTTGTAAAATTAATGAATACAGTGAAACACATTACATTGCAAGCTAACATTATCAAATAAGCTAAAGAAAATATTGAAGTTATGGACAGCAGTTCTATCCTTGTCTAGAATTTGTTCTACACGTTAGAGGATATCATTCCGAGTTCTTAACTCTTCAGTTGGTACTCAAATCATCAATTAAATTATTGATTGATCGGTTTGATGAAACAAAGTTATTCCTCTTTAGTTATCTATTTCACTCGAAATGCCTATCACAAAAATAAGCGCCAAAGTAAGTTAAAGTTGCTCATGTATTGACAAATCCAAGGTAATGACAAGAAATATTCCTTTGTATGCTGAGTCCAGGTTACATCTCAAGGAATCCCAAATCTACCATTTCCAATAGATAAAAATGAAGAAATCAGGACAGATTTGTACGACCTCATAAACAACCGTACACTCAGTACATGGGTTAGTCGACTGAACATAGTTAAATAATCAATTCGACAAATACCTTCCACAACTATTATTCATCTAAACTGTTTAATAATCTACCTTTTCATTTATTTTACAATTTTATTTTCTAACTTACTAAATTGGTTCCACAAATACTCCCCTCTCTCACGCTCTCTGAATAATAGATTTTACTGTAGTAGATTAGAATGAATTGGGAACAAAATATATTCCAAAAAAAGGTACAGGAGAAAAAAGAAATGATATAAAATTACAGGAGAAATTTTTAGCACCTTCTGTATCCATATGTAGTGCTGACTGGTTGAAAAAAGATCAATAAGTTTGTTCGGAATTATTTCTTACTCAAAATGGAACTGTTAGAGATTCATCCACTTAATATTTACCACTTGGGAATTGATAAGTAAACACATGAAAAAACTCCTCGCTCTATAGAGATTGCTTTTTTCTCACCTATCTTTACAATTATTACGCTATATGCTACATATTTTTAGGTATAAAAATCTGTATTTTTTTTCCAGTGTTACTCCACCTTTCTGGATGCCTTCGGAGAGTTGGTCTAGTTGCTCTAAAGAATGTGGTGATGGTGTTGAAACACGTCGATTTTTATGTGTTCAAAATGATCATTACAATGCTACGACACTGTTAGATGAATCACAATGTGAACATTTACCTAATCCAAGTGCACAGAATACAGAAAAAAATCAAAGAGCATGTAAACTCGGTCCGTGCGGTAAAGGATATCGATGGAGAGTATCTAACTGGGGACATTGTTCACAAACATGTGGTGGACTTGGTATAATGTCTCGTGATGTACAGTGTGTTTATTCAGGCAAAGATGGTGATCTTGTGATATCAGATTTCGATGCATCCTATTATTGTGGTAATTATCGACAACCTGAGAGACATGCATCGTGCAATCGATTTGCATGTAAGCCTGAATTTGTCCCCGAAAAATGGGGTAAGGTGAGTTATAAACTATAAGTTTAAAAGAAAAAGTTGTCTCTGAATAACTTACCATTTAGCTATTTAGAATATATGTTAACTTACGGTCATTTTTGTTCCTTTTATACGTTTTGTAAATTAATTTTCAATATACTGCAAAATATAAATTGATGACCTCAGTTTTATGTTTATATAGTCGTTTTCTCAGATTGAAAAGCTTTGTGCGATTAGGTAAAAAGATATGTAGTTGTTCAGTTATTCTAGCTCAATTGAAATAAGACTGTGATGTTAAAGTATCCCATCTAATCAACGTTATCAACCTAAATATCCTTAGTTAGCTAAACTGTGTCAGATAGTTGACAGTGTTTGTATAATCTCGTTAAATATTTTAGTTTTCTAAAGAGTAGTTAGAAGAGACCGTTTATTTTAGTTGAACTTAAAACTACTGTTTCCGGTCAATGATAAAACAGTGGGAAAAGGATAGCTAATTGATTTGTTCTTATTAGATCAGGTTTATATTACAGTTTGAACTTTAAATACAACCAAATTAGTCATCACAAGAGGATGATTCCAAATAAATTTAGAATGTCATCATCGTATGAAACACTATTATGATTGTGCCTTACTTTGGGCTGTATGTGAAATTGTACGCTAATAAAAATGGAAATACAATAACTGAGTTCATTGAATGGATTAAATTCTTAATAAAATTAGTTATAATAAATGACTGGCTAAAAATCTTATAAAGACACAGAAAATATGTTCGATATTCACTAAATTATGCTGAGTAAAACCCGGAAGAAACAACAAAATCTCTATCAAATGATGCACGTCAGTTAGTATGCTCTTATTACATTATTATAAAATCGACAAATCAGATTTTTAAAACCACCGTCGAAAACGTTCTTCGAAAGAGTACATTTTATTTGTCATAATTCTAATTTCTCCGTGATTACTTTTACAGATTACTGGTTTTTAATAAGTTGTACCATACTACTTACTTCTATATATTTTTCAGAATTGATTCGCCTTCAGTTCCTAGTCTAATTAAGTGGCCTTATTTTATTTATTTAAAGAGTAAATGCAATACAAATATACATCAGAATTTTTGCAATGATATTTTTTTCACTAGTGTATCCAAAGTGATCCATGTCGTCCAGGCAGACAAGTACGTCAATTATCGTGTATTTCCGTACAAGTCAATGGATCACTTCGCGAACTGCCAATGGCAGCTTGCTATATGACTGGGAAAACGATTCAACCAACATGGCGTCGATGTTTTGAAGAAAGTTCAAGAAAATGTGACAGCAAACCACCAATGATTAATACTGACACTTTAACTATTGTTCAGATGAGAAAAGTAGTTTCTTTAATTTTCCTACTTGTATACATTTTGTGTCTGGTTATATTAAAATTTAGTAAAATTCTAAATAGAATTAATCGGATTATAATTTCTTGATTATTCAGATATTTCAGGTTCCATTATTATACCGCCCAATGTTTGGAAATTGATGAGAAATGCTCTTAACAACTAATTAGACATCACTCTAAATTTTTTCAATAATATCCAATAAAATCTGATTGATCTGCATATTCACTTTGTATTTTATCAGATCTTGAACTGATAAATTCTTATGTACATATGACTTTATGAGAATTTATCATATCCAGGTTACAGATTACCCATAACCTAATACTCTATGAAAATAACTGAAATGATTAAGTTTAACAGTATATCATAAACAGAGTAGCTTTCTAAAAGCAACCAATAATTAGGACAAATTGTCACAAATACGCTAAAGCCTACAGAGTAATAAATACTAACTAATTTTTGAATAAATATGTAAATTTGCTGGAAAAAAAACTTTAATTAGTACATAACTGAGACTTTTTTCAATCCATTTCATTATAAACCGCTATACTAGTTTATATGTAGCAATCTAATAATCATAGCATTTTGATTAGCCTTACAGAGTAATTCATAAATTTCCGTATATTTATTAAGCTAGTTTATTGTGGTAAAATATACAAACATTCAACTTGAAAAACTCATAAAACTATCATGAAATACTACAGTCTGCGACTATACGCGCTTCTCTCCCTCTAAATGCAAGTTGTTGCTTCAGGATTGGTCTGCGTTAACACCTGAACTAAGGATAGGGAGTGAAGTAGTCGAACGCGTTGACAACTTCACTTATCTTGAAAGTCTGATCAGCCCTAATGGTCATATGGTACACTTGGCAAAATGTTTCTTACGAACAAAATATAAGCTCAACAAAGGAGTTTGTCTTTTTTACTGTAGATATGAACACTTGGAAGATATCATGCACAATTGGTAAATATATGAAAACATTTTCTGAACTGTCCTGTCCATAGAACTTAATAATTATATCACTAGATACACAATGGATTTGTTGTGTAAAATTGCATAAAGTAAAATAGTTTTGTCCAGGCTGTAATATAAGCTAGATGACTACTTTTGGTCGACAGATAATAATATTTAATCGATCACCTTATTATTCACTCCTGATAGAATATTTAGAATCCGATTAACCAGTATATTTTAGTTACCTTGATACATTTCACGAATGTCTTCCACGAACTTTGCAGAAGTAATTCCCCTAAGAGTGGCGATCATGAGATGTCCCACGAAAGGAAAAATTAACGATAGCAATTACAAGATAAAATACGTTCGTGTGTATCTGTTTTTTTCAAGATATTAATCGTATATTTATTTAAATATCTCACACAGCTACTTGTTGTTGAAGCAATGGTAAATTTTCCAAATTTATTGTCAAATCCATTTCAACGAATCATTTAAGGAAGAAATAACACATTTTACTGTTTATCCTTTTAATAATGATTTTAACAAGTTCTAAATATTTTCGTAATTTATTTCTACTTTAGGTGAAAGTGATTGATTTAAAAGTTGGCCAGCAAGCATTCGTAATACCATTTACCCGTGTAACCGTACGATGTCCTGTACAGTATTTCACAGCACAAGAATTACAATGGGCTAATCCAAACCATGGAATATTAGCCTATACAGGAGCAATATCTGATAGGATAAGGGTGGATAAACGGGGAAGATTACACATACGAAGTTTCCGTCTCATCGACGAAGGTGACTGGACGTGCATAGCTGGTTCAATGAACGCAACAGTCACGCTAACAGCTAGAACTCCGGCAGCAGGATTCCACGATTGGGTGCAAAGAAACAGATTATGGACCAAAGGTATGCTTAGTGATGATCCTAAAGCAATAGCTATAAACCATGAAATTATTCAATGGGTTGTTGGACCATGGAGTACATGTTCTACAAGTTGTGGCCAAACTGGACAACAATTTCGTGTAGTCAGATGTGAAAAAGTTGATAGTCGATTCTATCAAATACTGAGTGATCAAGTATGCATTGATAAGCTATTGCCAAAACCACCAAGTACACGAAAGTGTTTAGAAAGTAACAAATGTCCAACATGGTTCGTTGAAAACCGTGATACATCTGTTGTGAGTTACCATAATGTACATTCTAGTATTGCAAGTGAATTAAACCAATAAAAGTGGTTATTTTTTATTGAGATCATGAACGATTGATGTTGGATCACCGTTGAAAACCTGGAAACATTGGACGGCCGTTTCGTCCTATTGTGGGACTCCTCAGCAGTGCGCATCCACGATCCCACTCGCGAGATTCGAACCCAGGGCCTTCAGTCTCGCGCGCGAGTGTCTAACCTACTGGACCACTGAGCCGGCATCCAACCAACGGCCGTCCAATGATTCCAGGTTTTCAACGGTGGTCTAACATCAAATCGGTTCATGATCTCAATCAAAAACTTAGTAATCTCCACAACCCCTATACTGATAAAAGTGACTATCTTTTTTTATCAGGTTACACTTCAATTAAATACTTTAAGAATGTTTTCTGAGTATATTTTAAGCTTCTTGACATAACTTTATAGGCCTAAATTTGTATTATTGACAGCAAGATAGAATTAAAACTAATTTAATGAATGAACATCAATCAATTTTTACATAAGATAATTACATGAGAATATATTGTCTCATATTAACAAATAAATATATGGATAATAACAGTTACAAACCGGAATATCTAATCTTTATTTTATTTGTAACCACACAGGAAAAGAAATTTTCTCTTTAACATTTAAGAATAATAAATTTTTAAACTCACTTATCATGTAGTATTGCTTTCTATCAAAATATTAGAGAACATTTTTGTCGGAAGGGGTTTTGTCGAGATTCTAATAATTTCAGTGGTCTAATGGTTAAGCGCTCGCGCGCGAGACTGATAGGTCCTGGGTTCAAATTTCGCGAGGGCGGATCGCTGACGTGCACTGCTGAGGAGTCCCATTCTAAAACGAAACGGCCGTCCAGTGCCTCTGGGTTTTCCATGGTGGTCTAGCTTCGATCGACTCATGATTTCAACTATTGAAATTTTTTGAACGAATACTTTCCAAAAATATTGAATATCTTCAAGAAAGTAAAATTTCTTGTCATGTTTACAGATGAACTAACTGACTTATAAAACTACTTCAATGAATTATTTGATTATCCTTTTCTTTTAAAATTCCGATCAAAATGGGACAAAGTTTACAGTAAATATAAAACTATTTACAACTTCATGATTTAAAGGTAATCAATCCAACATAATCTATAAACATTTATGAGAAATTAGTTAACCTACAAGAACAAATCTAGCTTCAATTGACTCATGAACTTAACTATTAAATTACTATAATAACCACAAATCCCCTTCCTGAAAAGTATTTATTCTAAAATCAATGATAAATAATTATGATATCTTAGGAATCATAATTATGGCACAAAGGTGCTACAGAAAATTACGAATGATAACAAATTTACTAAATTTTTATATCATGTTGAAAATTGTTTTTGGTTATAACCTACTCACTTATGCACCACAAGGATACCTATCAAAAACTTTTATTTTTTCGCAAACAAAAAAACTCATAATTCTAACCAAGTATTAGATCAATTCTAGGTTTTGAAGATACAGTGTGAATGAAACAGAGTACGTTATACATCCGTTTAAATTGAAGTAGGTACAGAAGCACGATCTGTAACCAAATACTTTGTAAATTGACCGATCTTCTAGTTACCTTTGTTGTATGTTCAGAAATTGTTCGACTCATGAAAGCTTAGGAAGTTGAACTACATAGATATATTACGGAAATAGAATATGAATCAGAAATATCCATTAAATTGTACACTATTAATCAATAGGGCACTTTGTTTGTTCAATTTTCAGTGTTGGTGAGATAAAATACTTTTAGAAAATAACTACCAGATTTATTTTTTCATAATTCAAATCATGGATTGAACATAGCTAGGCCACTATTGAGAATCAGGAAGCACTGAACAACTGTTTCTTGCTAGGAAGTTCCTTATTCGTAGTGCTCATGTACGATTCCACCATAGGTGATAGAACTCAGGACATTCAATTTTGAACCTAAGCGACTCACCTTTGAACACTGAACCGAGATTCAGTGGTGCACATGTTTCTTTCTTTTTATTCTTTATATTAGACGACTTAAATTTCGTCGATAATATGAAGTTGCTTTTTTAAACTAACTCAACCATTTCTTTGTATGAATTCTTAATACTTCAAGTGTACAGATCGGTGTTTAGATGTCGGTAAAGGTTCAATTAGTGGTAATTTAGTCTGTATGATTGGTGAGAGAACAGTCGCCACAAAATATTGCGATAAATTAGATAAACCAAATATGGAATGTGAAAACCCTATATGTCAACTACGATGGAACGTTAGTAATTGGTCTCAAGTAAGTTAGTTGTTCTTGTCGTCACCTAATTAATCTGATTATTGATACAAACCGATCCCTTAAATGTTAACCAGAGAATTTCTAATTTGACACAACGTAATGATATTGGGCCTTTATACAAAAATCTTATCGTGTGTATGTAGATATAATGTAGAAAACAGAACCAGCCCTATGCATGTTTACCAGTTCAAAAGCTCCTGTAGAGTTCGTTGTACAACCAAAGAAATACATCATCGCATTCCTTAACACCATCTTCCAAGGTTTACTAAAACCTAGATAAAGCGATGAGACTCTGTTCTTGAGTATTTATTTAGTGTTCGTCGAAAAATAGATACCAAGTTAGCCTTGAAATTTCTATCAGATTTGTCATGTTTTGAGATTTCGTCTCTTATCTACATCAGAAGCCATAGGAACAAAAATAATCTGGGTGTATATGGAAATATTTTTAAGATTTCATAGATTCTGGCCATCTACTTGATTTCGAGAAATTACACATACACTACCTAACTTTGTTAAACTTAAATTTCTAATTTTATGATTAATGGTTCTAAGTAAGCTGGTTAAGCAACCCAATTATCCTTGCATCCGTTTCATCAGTACTACTACAAATAATACTAGACTCTTACATTAAGGTCATTTATTTAAAATGTATTCAAATCCTATTCTTAGTCTTGTGCAACCAGCTGCAATAATCAGTCAATTATGTAATTTTGTCTTCATTTAAATCTTGCATACATTGCCTCAGTAACTGATTACTATATTTAGAGAAAATATTGAGATACCTTTGTAGTAAAAATAGTAAAAAACTTTTTGGTTGAATCCCAATGAAAAGAAAGCTAAACGTCTAACGTTTCTTAGGTTAGTTTAAGTTACTTCTTCAAAGAGTGAATTGTAGAATTAATAAACTACCGTTTATTTGGTATTCATTTTATACTTATTTTTAAGACCTGTAGATTAGTGGGCAGCCACGACGAGAAACTAATTGAAAAAGAAAATATATTCCCTCAACTCGTACTCTTCAATGTTTCAAATACAGATAATCATGGTAAGAGTGGTAAAAACAACGAACACTCAGTGTATTACTTTGTTCAGTCAATGAATCAACAAGTTGTATGGTAATCAAATACTTTCTGTTAAGTTTTCAAAAAGGCCAATTCGAGTTAAATCTCTTCACAGATGCTTTCAACCAATTATTCACAGAAAATAAAGTATATGAATCATAGTAAATCCGTCAATAAATCTGTAAAGATTTAATGATTTAAGCAGTTCGAATATGATCCATTCAGCTACAATCTTTCTAATTCTAAAAACAATTGAGATAACTTATAGATTAGTAAAAACGCACTATCTTATTTACTTTACACTGTGTCATAAAGTATCACTAGTTAAATTGGGGCTACTTGAAAATATATTATGGAAAAAGTACATTCATTTTTATTTTAGTGCTCACGTTCATGTGGTGGAGTTGGTGTTCAAGCTAGACACCTTCTGTGTACTTGGTCACATAATGGTGAATTGGCAGGTTCATTGTGTTATTCCCATCAACTTGCTATTCCAGATGTGATACGATCATGCGAAGTACCTCCATGTAAATTAGGTAAGTGGGATGAATCAGTTCACTTTTTTGTTAAGTGGTAATAACAGCAAAGGTAATTAGTACCGAAACACGTTATTGAATGGAAAGAAACCGAAATTGAAACCACCAACTAATTTTTGAAGACACTGACGTGTTTCGACAGACTTATTAAGTAGTTGCGTTCTGAATTCCATCACCTCATGTGATATTTGAACCGTTTGCATTTATAACTTCGATGGAATACTTAAGACTTATCGATTCTAAATTACTTTTCATGGGAATTAGTAGAAGGACCCTCAAAGCACCAGTGTTCAGCCATGTTAATCCGGTAATCGAATCAAATCTTTGGAACCAAATTATAAAAGCCAAATGAAAAACTCCATTGTGCCCTATCAAGTTAGAGCATCAAATCAAAAGAGTCAGTCAGCTCAGTCAGCTACAACGTAGGACCAGGCACATATGTGCATCGGTCCAGGTCGCCATACCGTATCAGCACAACAAGATGAACACCGGATTCATAGCAGTGGTTAGGTCAAAGGTAGTAATATGTAGGAGAAAGATTGCATATAGAGATATAGCACAAGAAAGAATTGGTTCGTAGAAAGAAAGATATGAAGCGATTTTAATCTCTTAGTTTAAGGGAAGACAGAAAGTGTATACACCGACGCCATTGTGATCGATTCTGAGCCATGTCACCAAGAGTCTCCAACCATTGGTTACGATAGTCACGCGGACCCCAACCAAGTAGTCTGCATCTACCAACATGGCTCAGACTAGAAGTTAGTGACTTCAAGCACTGATGCCACGTTTTGGTTTGGCCGCCCCTAACTTCCTTCCAACCATTTCCAATACCGGATAGCATTGCAAGTCGTGGTAATCGGTGTTCAGGCATACGTAACACGTGGCCCAACCATCTCAGTCGATGAAGATTCATAACCTCATCAACTGATTTACCATCATTCCCTAATACCCTGCGTCTAACCTCACTATTACTTACCCGGTGATCCCAGCAGACGCCAGCAATATTTCTAAGGCATCTGTGGCCAAATACTAATAGCTTACGAGTGTCTTCTACTCTTAATGGCCATGTTTCGCTGCCGTAAATTAAAACAGAACGGACTGCCGCGCAGTATACTCGTCCTTTTATTGATAGGCGGATATCTCGCCTTCGCCATAGGTGACGCAAGTTGGCAAAAGCCAATCGAGCTTTTCGAATCCGTGCTGAGATTTCGTCCGATACCAACCCATTAGGGCTGATCAGACTTCCAAGATAAGTGAAGTTGTCAACGCGTTCGACTACTTCACTCCCTATCCTTAGTTCAGGTGTTAACGCAGACCAATCCTGAAGCAACAACTTGCATTTAGAGGGAGAGAAGCGCATTCCAAACATTCTGGCATTGTTGCTCAGTGCTACCAGAAGACTCTGCATTTTGTTAGCGTCTTCACCAAACAGGACTATGTCATCTGCGTATTCTAAGTCGATAAGTGGACCTCCTGGTAGGAGATCAATACCCGAGAATTCAGTCGACGAGAGTGTTATTTCCATCAATAGGTCTATGATGAAGTTAAAAAAAAATGGGGAAAGTGGACAGCCTTGACGGACACCACTTGAGGTTGCAAAAGTAGATGACAGTTCGCCATAAGCTCTGACTCGACTAGTAGTGTTCGAGTAAACAGCCTTTACAAGGTTTATGTACTTCTGGGGTACGCCTTTCAATGACAGACACTGCCACAGAACCTCGCGGTCTACCGAGTCAAATGCTGCTTTTAAGTCGAGAAAGACCACCATTGTCGGACGCCGATAAGTATGCCTGTGTTCTAGAATCTGACGAATGGTGAATATGTGGTCGGTGCAGCCACGACCAGGTCTAAAGCCAGCTTGGTTCTCTCGTGTTTGCAGTTCACGAGTCTTAGTTAGGCGTCTGATAATTATCTAGGCTAGTATTTTAGATACTATATTAGTTAAACTAATCCCTCTGTGGTTGTCACAGGATGATTTTGACCCTTTCTTATATATTGGGACGATAAGTGATTGTGACCAGTTAGATGGGATAACGTCCAACTCCCAGATTTTAGCTAAAATATTAGTCAATCTAATCGCTAAAATTGGACCACCATCCTTAAAGACCTCTGGAGCCAATCCATCTGGACCAGCTGCCCTTCCTCGTTTCAGATTAACTATAGCCTTCTCAACTTCAGCAAGAGTTGGGGGACCTACTTCAATGTTCCATTCACACTGTCTTGGAATGGAGGGTAGTTGTAGAGTAGCTGAAGGCCAGCTGAACTGTTCTCTGAAATGTTCAGCCCATCGTTCTAAACACCTGGACTGGGAGCAGATGAGTGTATCGTCTTTTTCCGATATAATCTCACTTACACTTGACTTATTAATTCCAGTTTCTTTTATTAGTCTGTAAAGCTGTCTTGTGTTCCCTATAGTCGCAGCCTTTTCCATCTCTTTTGCTTTCGTTGCCCACCACTGCTCACGGTCGTTTCTTAGACTTTTTCTTAACCTAGATCTGATTTGTTGTCGCTCTTCATCATGTTCAGAACCTGATAGGACGAGTTTGCGAGAATCCATCAGTGTGATAGACTTTGAAGAAATCCACTGGTTCTTTGAAACTCTGTGGTTTAAGTCGCTAATAGATGTCACTGCTGCTTCCACAGCTGCTTGTATTTCATTACAAGCAACATCTGGGTCAGCCTCGTCTTCACAACTACCTAATCGTGACCTCAGTTGTTCCTGGAACCTACTTTTGGTTTCCTCGCTACTCAGTTCGGTTCTAATGGGTCTTTTTACTGTGGCTTTTTTGCGTCCAGTGAGGCGCAAGCAGATGCGTGCCCGTATTAGGGCGTGGTCGGAGTCCAAGCAGGTACTCCAGAATGAGCGACAATCTCGTACCGACCCTCTCCAACTATGACTGATGGCAATATGGTCTATTTGAGTCCATCGTTGGTTTGGTGCAGGCGGTCGCCACGTTAGACGATGTCTCTCCTTATGCTTAAAATTTGTGTTTGCTAAAAATAAACGATTGTCTGAGCACAGTTGCAGCAGACGGTCACCATTATCTTTTCGCTGTGCCGGAATGCTAAAATATCCACCTAAATGCCTTTCTGTTTGGTTTAAGCTACCTATCTGAGCATTAAAGTCACCTGCTACGAGTACTATGTCTGAGCGTTTAGCTTTCTGAAGAAGTTCAGAAAGCTTTCTGTAAAATTCATCTTTCACTTCATCTGAGATGCAGTCAGTGGGAGCGTAGGCAGAAACGACGAAAAGGCAACGACGTGTGCCCCTATCCTTCCGAGTTTTCACGGAGCCGTTTAGCCGAACACCACATAGACGACTGTTGACGGGGATCCACTCTAGCAGTGCTTGTTCGGCCCTCATGCTTAGTGCTATGCCTACACCTGCCAGTCCACGAGAACTTGCCATCGGGTCACCAGATACACGAAGGGTGTACCTCGTTGGCTCTCCGTTTTGCCGAGGTGAGGTCAAGTGAATGACCACACTGGGATCCTGTATGCGTGTTTCAGAGACACAGCATACATCAATGGAAAGAGACTCTAGGGTTTTAGCCAAGGAAGCCTGCTGACCGATTTGACATAGAGTGCGTACGTTGAAAGCTCCAATGTGTAGTTTTGAGCGAGGTTTCAGTAGACCTGGGACAGAGTTTTGAGCACTAGAATCGTTGGCTATGGTGACACTTGAGGAGGAAGCCGAAGGAGGAAGTTTAGGGTTGAAAGTCGATGTAGGAGGAATAATAGGAATTGAAGAGGAAGGTTGATTATGAATACAGTGGTCTTGGGTGCTGTTAGAGGTATGAGGGCGGTTATCACTTCCCGGTTGCCCACACCGTGGAAGGGTTCTTCTGGAGGTACCTGAAAAGGAAATTGGATTAGAGGCGGTCTCAGTGACCTGAGAGCGTGACCGCAGCGCCCAAGGGACAACTGCTTGAAGCCGGTCGCGCACGGCCTTTTCGTGGGAGGTTTTTGACGTGTTAGCTCCGTTCTTCAAAGAGCCTTACCGCCGGAGACGGAAATTCGTGAGGTAAGGTGAGGTGTGCATTTTTAGGGTCGACCTTTTCTAACCCCACCCCTCCTTGTGGGAAGGCAGCATCGCTGTCATGCTGGTTGTCTGAAGGAAACACCTTACCGCTGTCACACCTCTGTACAGTCAGCAGTACGACTTCGCCTTCGGACCTTGGGTTTGTTGCTTTTAGTCTTACCGCTCTTCAACCGACCTGTCTGACATGGTAGGACCTTGAGGAACGGTTGTTCCAGCCAGTATAGCTCGGTTGCTTCATCACGATAGGCAAGCCCGACCACCACGTCAAGGTAGCAACAACGGTCGGGAAATCAAAAGAGGAACTAATAAAAAAACACCCCAAAGGATCTGATGGAGTACAAATTTTATCACTATGTGAATTATCTCTACAAAACTCGTTCTCCAAGTAATCTGATACGAACTGGACTTTAGTGTGAAGACCAGAGAATTAGGCACGGAGTCATTTGAGTGACAAACGGGAACTAGTTAGTCGTAACCTTAAGATTAAGACATATTGTTCAACTAATGCAAGCTTCCAGAATAGTTTGTCTATTTATAAACACCCATAAGTTAAATATTCACTTCACATTCCTGTTTTCTTGTTTTCGAACTACGTAATTGAATTGATCAAGCATACGAAGTTTAGTAGAAGAACCAAGTGCCAGGTTATAGCTCAAGGTAAGAAGCCAATTGCCACCATAATTCGATGGATTAGACAAGTTTTATACAGATTACTTCAAATGCTTTCGTTATAGTGCATTATTTGTCGATTTTGGAAACAGGGAAAGCTATTAATATATATTACGAATAAACCGTATGACAAAACATCTTAGATACACTTCATAACTCATTCTACTCTATTTATCACATTAATGATTGAAATAAACTTATTGAGGACAATTTTAATCGCTTTCTTCTTCCTTTTACTGTATTCAAGGTTGTGTTGACATGTCTAAACACTGTTCAAAGAGGGTAGAACTATGCAAATTTACAATATATCGTTATCAATGCTGTGAATCATGTCAACGTTATGTACAAATGATTTCATCCGCAAAAGATTCTTTGAAAAACTTTCAAAACGAGAAATTCTCTAACATATTTTCTTAATCAATAAAAAACAATGCATTTATACAAGTACAGAAGATAACCAAAAATAGCACAATAATAAATGAGGTCATTAACCTACACTTAGAACTGTTTGACCTCAGGATTGTTTCTCTAGCGGGTAAAATGAACAAAACAAAATTATTTGTAGTTTATCTTATTGATTTTCCTTTTTTCTAGTTCTGATAACTCTCTTGTTCTCTCTCTCCTCTACACAAAGACATATATGCTCATTTTGTTATCAGCATTTACACATGTATTCGAAAAACTACTTAAACGCACTAAAAAAACCAGTAACAAACAACCGGTGCCCAGCATCATTATACTTTATACTATTTCATAATTACATACCAAACTATACCAATGTACAAGTGTCAATATATAAACGAAATATTTTGATAATAAAAGTATATTTACCTGAATACCACTAAACAAATCTTAATTATGAGGAACAAAAATATGATAGAACATTAAAATAAAATCTATACTACTACTCCATTTTTCATATGATGTTTGTACAAATTGTACATACACAGTAATAAACAAACAACAAACTGTATTTATCACTTAATTAAAAATAATTAACAAGTATGTCATCATATTTACAGAAATATGTGAACATAAACAGAGTAAAATTGTTTTATTAAAAAAAAACAACTCAAAAACAACTTTTATTTTACAATGATGAATATATAATGCACAACTATCAGTCCATATGAACCATACACATATATGCACACATACAAACACAATACATACAACAAATGAAAACTATCATATTACGCTTTATGGTATGAATAATTACTGAAAAACTACAAATAATATAAACAGTTCAAAAATTGAAAACTTTCAGTCCTGCTCTTCTCTTAAATCAAATTATGTAAGGCTATCGAGACAAAGATAATAATAATTCTATGCATACCTTTAGCATTTTCTCTTACCTCTTACATTATATATATATATATATATATATATATATATATATATATATATATAATAAGGATGGTGATTCAGTTGAATGTAAACGTTTTGAATTAGGTGAATGAATATATGTGATACTGTATTGTTCCGTTTCAAAGTAAATGACTATTTCAAACGCCTAACATACAACTAGTAAATGAGAATAATAGAGGTAATTAGGCACCAGGTAAAAAGAAAAAAAAGCAGTAACAATCAAATGGACGAAAGGAGTAAATACCAAATGAAGTATATATTTTATTGATCGATTGTAAAATTACTTAAATTTGCGAATCGTTAAGGTCTGAATCCAAGTGAAGAATGAATATTGTCCCCCAAAAGTTAAGACATACGGATTTATTCACAAAAAAACCAATGACATAATCCATGAGATTCATCATCAGAAATAATTTTGATTATATATATATATATATATATATATATATATATATATATATATATATATATCATGCAGTCAAAATCTTATTAGAAACTGGATAGAAGGGATATGATTCTAACAATTACTATGCAGTTTATATTAAAGAGAACGAGATACGAGCATCACTTCTATATTATTTATTTCGTTCTTATGTTCATCATAAATACATAAACTAAACTATATTAAAACAAAAATGGGATCGAACATTAGTTTATTACTTATCACATTCCTGTACATACAAATATACAACAAAATTAGAGTCAATATCCAATTATAAGAATCATGAATAATTGTTTTACAATTATTCATTAATAAAAAGATCTACACTACATCATTGGTGCACAGTGTGTATAACTAAAAGAAACCAACCAACTAAAAACAAAAAGTACTCATATACAAAACAAAAATCAGAGAGAAAAAACTAGATGAAATCTTTCCTTCATTCAGTATTTTGAAACTGTAGATTAAACAATAAAACAATTGGAGAAAATAAGAAACAATCCATTTAACTACTTGACAAAAAGAGAGTGGGAAGTGACAAAGATGGAAAAAACTTAGTTATATAAATAGATGAAATGATAGTTCAGCTAGTAAAACATTGAAACACAACGGATTAACTTGAGCGAACAAAAATTCTTAAACGCTTTTATTCAAACTCTTGAAATATTTGTATACTTACAGTGAGTGTTGTAGTGTTAGTGTGAATTTTACATACTGAAAGAACTGGTCAAAACGAGAAAAGAGAATAAACTAGAAAAGAATTTTCTAAATATGGTGACAACGAAAAATATATGATGAATTAATTTCGAAAGAAAAACAGTGATGAATGGAAGACTCATAGTAATTAAGTAAATAATTAAAATAGTAGGCAATGACTGGTAAAATTAAGTCATTATTTTAATAAAGAAAAATACGAACTTATAAGATCTAGTATTTTTTTCTTCGTTGTCGTTTCCATCATATGATTGATTGAAGGAAGTTTTCATTGTCGATTGGAATTAAACAAATTAATGAAACAAATAGCCTCACTTATCGGGTTGCATCCTGAAATTAGAGACAAATAATAAGCAGGAGTAAAAGTATCACATTTTTATACAGAGAAAACATGTTGGGGGATATTCCGACAATCTGAAAACTCACGTGATTAGTGACCATAATTAAACATCTTAAAAACCTCATAGACACTAAACACTTTGAACCTTTATCATGTATGATAAAGATATCTAGTGTTTCAGAAGTCTTTTAATCCTTTCAAACAACGCATTTCATCCACTTATACTTTTAATAAAATAAAAACGTGAATTGAAAGTTTCTTTAAAATATTCAAATGATTCTTCTTGATATTTTTTATTTACACAAAAGATTTAATGATATACAATTGTTAAATATATGCTGAAATCAATTTATATAAACCGAGACTACACATTGAATGCTAAATTCTAGCCGATTCAACAGTTGTTTGTTACGAAACTACAAAAATGACTAATTTCAACACAATTACATTCCAAAATTAGATAGATTCGGAAACTGACTTACCAGCTTACCATGTACTTTTATTAACATACATGGCTTTGAAACACAATTACGAGTGAGGACTAGTGATATTACTAAGTTGACCTAGCCAACGTAGATGGAATGGGGACTGAAACTGGGACTAAAAGTCGAACGCCTTGACCACTAGGCCATAACTCACAAACGTCCACAATAGAGCAAATGCATTTTTGTCTTTCTCCCCCTTAAAATATTTTATACATACTTTTTCACTCTGCCTTTTCAAACAATAATCTCAATGTCCAGCCATTATTATTGCAAATGGATTATTTTGATTTTTTTCCCGCTCATCTTAGTAACCTTATCTTGTAGTGCTAATGTGGTATGGCAAGCTGGGGCGAACCATTTAGTTAGCAGGATAATAATCACTAGTAATACAACAAAAATGTATTAAAGCGCTGCAAAATCCTTTAAAGTTCAATTCATAATGTTTATATAAACTTATTCATTGCTGAATATTTAGATACATTTTTATAACTGGAATAACCTAGTTTAAGGTTACAAGAGAATTTAAGATGAATTTAGTTGTGCCAGGCTCTAAGTTCATTATAATCTGCTGACTGAGTAAAAAAACATTGGTCGGCATCAATAAGGCTTAGAGTCAAACAATAAACGTGGGGATTCCGTGTTATCATTTTCATTACCAGTAAACACAAGTTTAGATTATTTCGTCCTCTACTCGATTACGGTAGGATACGGTATACAACTGTCGGCACTCGAACTTGTGGAACCCTCATAGTCGCAAATCAAAAGACAAAAGAAGCAGAGGGAGCGGTCACTGGGTAAGAATCACAAAAGTACAGAAAAACAGGGGTATTTCTTAATTTTTAGTATAGGCTATAACATCATTATAATCAAGCGTATCCGCAATTAGGAAAGTCATGCAAATGTCTAATCATAGCATCCCACGTTGATATTTCAAAAGGTTCTATCAGGTTCTGACTGGATTAATCTATTTAGCTCCTTTATAGCTTATGGGGGCTTCATTATGCTTTTCGACGTCGTCCCAACAGAGAGTAAAAATAACGTCAAAAATACATAAGTATTTGAAAGGCTAACTCCACCTGTAGCTCTTCTAGAATTACTGCCGGTCCCAATCCCAGGTAGAGGAGAAAGATTTGGTGTGGTGGTCAGCAACTTCATCCCGTACAAAACAACCTTGATAAAAAAAACCACTGACTAGAATAAACAATTTAAACCATATAAAATCTGCCCTCCGAGTTCAAGGAAGAATTATGACGCCTCCTGAGGAAAGCCGAGATTCTTTGGAAATCACGAGACAGATGCCCCGTTTAATAACCAGAGCAACACTTCTTCTAGGTACATGGAACACCCGGAAAATGTGGAAGACCGGAAGGACCAGCCAAATAGCAAAGGGAATGAGGAGATACAACTTGGCAGTACTCGGAATAAGTGACACACAATGAACCCAAACTGGACAGAAAAGCATAGATTCGGTAGAGATGCTACTGTACTCCGGTCACAAAGAGGAAAATGCTTCACACTTAGAAAGTTGCTCTGATGCTTTCCAAATGGTCACGAGAAACATTTGCAGAATGGGAATCACGTGGATACAGAACCATCTAATCATTCTTCAAAACAAAGGAGTAGAGAATTAAAATGAATACTATCTAACGTTATGCACCCACCAATAATGGCAACGACGACGATAAAGATCAGTTCTACGAAAGGCTGCAATCGATTATAATGAAGAGCCCGAGAAAGGACATGACCATCCTGATGAGAGATCTAAGCGCCAAAGCCGGGATGAACAACAACGGTTATGAAGATATTATGGGACAACATGGACTAGAAGAAAGGAAAATGAGGAGAGTTTTGCAAATTTATATGCATTAAACAAACTGGTTAGAGACGGCACGATCTTCCTACACAAACGCATACACAAATCTAGATGGGTTTCACCAGACCCTACCACAAAGAACCAGATAGATCATATTTGCATCAGTAAAAAATACACAAGTTCAATAGAAGACGTGAGAACCAGGGGAGGAGCTGACATAGCTTCGGATCACCATCAACTGGTGGTTGCCAAGTT